ACAAAGCATATCTGTATACCTAACCCTTAACTGTACCCCACAATATCATAATAAAAAAATTGATTAAAAAAAAAAAGAAATGCAAATTAAAACTACACTGAGATACCACTTAACTCCAGTCAGGATGTTCATCATCAATAACTCAAAAAACAACAGATGCTGGAGAGGATGCAGCGAAAAGGGAACACTTCTACACTGTTGGCAGGAGTGTAAACTAGTCCAATCTCTGTGGAAAACAGTTTGGCAATTTCTAAAGGTCTAAAAATCGATCTTCCATATGACCCCGCAATCCGCCTATGGAGAATATACCCGGAGGCACTCAAAACACTCTATGAAAAAGATACCTGCACAGGCATGTTTACTGCAGCATTGCTTAAATAGCAAAAACATGGAACCAACCGTGCTGCCCATAGAAAGGAGATTGGATTAAAAAAAATGTGGTGCATATACATGATGGAATATTATGCAGTCATAAAGAAGGATAAAATCATGAACTTCATAGCAACTTGGATGGACTTAGAGCCTGTAATAATGAGTGATCTATCACAGAAACAAAGAACTGAGTATCACATGTTCTCACTCATAAGTGGACCTTGAACAATTATCATGATACTATAAGAAAAGGATCGTCAGTAGTGGGAAATTTTCGGAGGCTGGGGGGTGGGATTGACAGTAGTGGGCCGTCTTCTGCGGGAGGTGGGAGACACACCTCTTCAACAATGGTACCTGCTACCTGCATAATGAACATTTGTATACTTAACCCTGAATTGTACTCCACATCTTTAAATTTAAGATATTAAAAAAAGAAAGAAGAAAAAAAAAATTGTGGCTCAGCACAGTGGCCCATGTCTATAATGCCAGCACTTTGGGAGGCCAAGGTGAGAGGATTTCCTGAGTCCACGGGTTTGACACTAGCCTGGGCAACTTGGTGAGACCTCGTCTCTACAATAAACCAAAAAATTAGCTGGGCATGGTGGAACGCACCTGTAGTTCCAGCTACTTGGAAGGCTGAGGTGGAATAATCGCCTGAGCCCAGCAGGTTGAGGCTGCCGTGGCCGTGAGCGTGCACTCCAGCCTGGGCGACAGAGTGAGACTCCAACTAAAAGCACCAAAACCAAAACAAACAACAACAACAAAACTGCTGCAGTGTGGCATGGGCAGGTGTGATCATAAATCACCCATCATGAAATGGGCAAACACGTTGAAAGAATCTTCAAAAAAATTCACTGAAGCCAAGCATAGCATCCCACAACCTCCCACAATGCTAGCTGGTATACTGATGCTGCTGGGTTCCTAGAACACTTACTTAGCAGGGGAAGCCTGCACTACAAGGGGCCTGCCCTCTAAAAAATTCTGTTTTTTTGAGGGTCCCCCCCACCTTGAATTCTCTTGTTATTTATTTTCTGCTAAGTCAGCCATTCTGTGAGCTATGCTGCTAAAGAGTCCAGAAAAAACAATCTCTTTCCCCAACATTCTAGATCTGTAAAATTATGCTCCCTCTTAATTTTACCAAGAATCCTCAGCTCTTCTAGACTCAGTTATAGGTATTCATTTCATTTGACTCAATACATATGCAGTTTTCCTCCCATCCTTTACATAAGTATAAAAATATATAAAATATATAATATTAATAATTTACTGTTAAATAGTGATGTGTGTACAGAATATTATAGGTTCCTTAATATAATCAGCCACCTACTCTATATAGATCTCAGCTTCCTCAGAGATGTTTTTCTGAAATAAAAGACCCTCACTATTCTCTGCTGTTGCCTGTGTTAGACATCTTAGCCTACACTGTTCACCATTACACATCCATACCTAGTATAGCACAGTACCCAGTACACAGTAGGTATTTGATACATTCATTATACTAGGCCTGTTACATACGCTACTATTACATACATTAGGTCTATTACATACCTACATATGAACTCTCACATAACCCTAAAAACAGGCATTTTTTCCTTTTATTAATGATACAATTAGGCTCTGCTAAATCAAGGTCATTCATATGATAACCCAAACCACATACAAAACATTCCTTTCACTACAATGCCATTCCTAACCTGGATGAATATAAATGATCCCGATTTCTATCATTCGGAAATTCCATGTTCAAATCATTATTTTTAAATTTAAAAAAATCTTGAAAAGTACACAATATTCACAGTTTTCTAGGGAGAATAAGGAAAACTAAAAATTACTTTTCTCTCCATTAAACTATTGCTATAAGGCCGGGCGTGGTGGTTCACGCCTATAATCCCAGCATTTTGGGAGGCTGAGGTGAGAGGATTGCCTGAGCCTGCTGGTTCAAGACCAACCTGGGCAACATGGCAAGACCTGGCCTCTACAATAAATCAAAAAAGTAGCTGAGCATGGTGGCACACACCTGCAGTCTCACCTACTTGGAAGGTTAAGGCAGAAGGACCGCCAGAATCCAGCAGGACAAGGCTGCAGTGGCCATGAGCGAGCCACTGCACTCCAGCCCGGGTGACAGAGTGAGCCCCTAACTCAAAAAATAAAAATAAACTATTGCTATAATAACAAAGTATATTATTCCTCACAGAATTCTCAAACAGAGTGGAAAATATTTCCTATGAATTTGCAAATTCATTTACACTCAAGCCATTGACTTGAGTTTAAATGATACAATTCATTTTGCCTACATGCAAAATAAGCTGAGATATATGCAGTCTGGGAGAATTTCAACTGACAAAACATTAAAGGTTATCTAGTTTATAGCCCTAATTGACAGAAGAGGTCACGTGACATGCCAGTTCCAACTCTGGAAAAGGGCCAGAACTAGAGATACTTATTGAATGTTAGCATTAAAGTCAAAAGTCATTAATATGTAATCTGGTAGTGCAAGTAGTCTCTGATTTTAAGAATATAATTCAAAAGAGACTTTTGTTTTGGAAATAGACAAACGAAGGAATTTTTGAGGGCCTCTGAGAGTTGCTATTTTAGTCAACTAAAAGTCAGTTTCAGTAGGCCATGATTACCGCACAACCGTTGTAAATCTGGTCCTGGTACCATTAAGTAAGTTATAAGTTTATGTTATATTGGCTCTGCAGAAAGTGGTCACCATTAATGTGAGGGTGATTTTCCCAACTTGGGTCAATCAGTGCATTACACTTTATTAGGAATCCTCTTTTCCATTAAGAAATAAAACTGAATTTCTATCATTTGTAATTGGTGATATTATAAACCTTATCACTATTGTTACTATCATTAGCCCTAGAAAACCAAGTCTGCAACTCTTTCCCAAGCATTTAAAAAAATTCTTGGCCAAGCATAGTGGCTCACACCTGTAATCCTAGCACTTTGGGAGGCCAAGGTGAGAGGATCACTTGAGGCCAAGAGTTCAAGACCAGCCTGGGCAATATAGAAAGACTGGGTCTCCATTTTAAAAATACGCAAAATAGGCCAGCTGCAGTGGCTCATGCCTATAATCCCAGCACTTTGGGAGGCAGAGGCAAGAGGACTGCCTGAGCCCAGGAGTTCAAGACCAACCTGGGCAACATGGCGAGACCTAGACTCTACAATAAATCAAAAAAGTAGCTGAGCATGGTGGCACACACCTACAGCCTTACCTACTTGGAAGGCTGAGGCAGAATCACCTGAGCCCAGCAGGTTGAGGCTGCAGTAGCCATGAAAAATAAAATAAAATAAAAATAATTCTCAAATAAACTATCAAAGTTCAAGTCTTAACAATATCCTAAGTATAAAGACTCTCAAATAAATATTTTTTTTTCATTTTATGTAGCATTGTTACTTTACTTTCGTAAATATTAGCTCTCATCAAAGTTGTGCACATCAGGTAACAATAAGTTAGTCAATATTCACCCTTTGCGCTCAGAGACATTTGGTGGTTCACCTATTAGCAACCTGACTGCAGTTTTTTATCAGATAGTGAAAAATGAATCACTTTCATATTAAATAGCACAGCATTCGAACCAATTATTTTCCTGTAATGATATTTGGCTTACAATGGGATTTTGGACATTGATGAACTTATTTATGGCCAAAATCTCAAAATTTCATATCTTTTGTTTCTAATGAATGATTAATGTATGAAACAGTCACTGATGTGCATTGTGGAATCATTGATACATGTTGTACGACAGTAATTTGACATCTTCCACCCATTGTTTTTCTATCTGAGTAGACAATGCAGTCTCATTTTCTTCCTCACACGTTAATAATATGTAGTTTATTGTCCAGTTGTTGACTGAAGACAATGCGGAAGGACATTCTCTTTCTATGTAACACCAGCTGATTTTTTTTTTTTTTGAGTCAGTCTCATTTTGTCACCCAGGCTGCAGTGAAGTGGCACACTCATGGCCACCATGCTGAGCTCAGTTGATCCTTCTGTCTCAGCTTTTCAAGTAGCTGGAATTACAAGCATGCACCACCGTGCCTGGCTAATTTTATGATTTACTGTAGAGACAAGGTCTTGCCATGTTGCTCAGGTTTGTCTCAAACCTCTGAGCTCAGGCAATCCTCTTGCTTCCGCCTCCAAAAGTGCCCACAGGTATGAGCCACTGTGCCCAGCTTATTTTTTAACATATATCTCAGTATATATTTCATGTCTTTATTTGCTTTTTCATGCAATTTGAATGGAAAATTTCAAGGAAACAGATTTTTGAAAAATTTGCACTGGCATAAGTTTGTCTTGTATAATCACCAGCAATCTCTTTGTGTCGCTAAAAGGGAACATCCAAGTGGTTGCTAGATTTACAATGTCCCCTAAAAGGGCACATCAAAGTGCAAAGGGTTAAGGAAACTCAAAACAATACATTTTAGTGTGAATCCTAATATATACAAAATATAACTTTCTAAATCTTAAAAATTATTAATAAAATCTTTATGTGACAACATAAATTGTGAATAAAGTATAAGTTTTGACATAATTGACAAAGTAAAGATTAAGTCATTCTTTTTAAAATAAACATTTACTGCAAAATTCCATCATCTGGCAAAAGTCCAGTCCAAATGACTGTGTCCACTCATTTGATATTAAAGTGCATAATACCTATGAGAATCAGTAACACGGAGTCTACACTGAGTAAATGAGGTGCAGTCAATAAGCAGATTGTGTTTACAAGGTCCAAGGCCAATAAAAACAGCTGCAATCAACCATACATGTCTGCATTTTTTTTCCTCCAAAGATGATGAGTAAAATTATGGTCAACTGGAGGCCAATCAAACAACTAATGGCTCGCTGTTAAAGATGCTAGTTTGAAAAAAGAAGGCTTATGATTTGACAAAGAAGAAACTGACAGAGTTTAGAAGAATAGTCAATAAACTAATGTGTTGTCATTTGCAAGGAAGGAGAAAGCCTTCCTAGTGGACCAATCATCTAGAAGAGGTTTTCTTTTCTAAGTTTTTAAACTTAGAGACTAAGCATCTCTGGGGAGAGGAACAGGAAACATGGATACAGATTTTTTTTTTTAAGTGCCCCAGGTGATTCAGGTGATAGCCAGGTTTGGGAAAACTAGAAATCACTAGGACTTTGCTCAGAATCCATCCCTGTAGAAATACAGGTTACTTTACCCCTTTTAACTCTACAATGCCATAAATTTCTCCGCAACATTTATTTTCTTTTATATCACTGCAGTGTTTTCATCAGCTATAAAATATAAAGATATGAAGATGGCGAAATTGTCTAATGAGAAAGAGGTTTGGTGTTTAAAGGTTTGGGGCAGTTTTCCCTGTCTTGCAAAGCAGAAAAACAATACACCTTCCATATCCTAACTAGCACTTTTGCCTCCAGTTTTTCTCCCCAGTTTCATGCCTAGGCAACCTGATCTCATAGTCTGTCTCAATTTCCACTTTTTTGTTGTTGTTTTGTTGGAGTTACACTCTGTCGCCTAGGCTGAATGCAGTGGCACCATCACGGCACACCATAGCCTCGACCTCCTGAAATCTCAGGTGATCCTCCCACCTTAGCCTCCCAAGTAGCTGGGACTATAGGCATGCGACATCACACCCAGCTAATTTATTTTTATTTTTTTGTAGAGACAGCATCTCACTATGTTACCCAGGCTGGTCTCCAACTCCTGGGCTCAAGCAGTCCATCTGTCTTGGCCTCCCAAGGTGCTAGGATTACAGATGTGAGCCATCGTGCCTGTCTTAAATTTTGCTTTTCTATTAAACATCAGGTTTGAGATTTATCCATGCTGATCATGGAACTCTACTTCATTTTCACTACTGCTTATTACTTTATAGTGTAAGTATATCAAAAATTATTTATTCTCCTTCTGTTAGTGAATATCTAGGTTGTTCCCAATTTTTCACAATTTCTAAGTATACTGCAATGAAAATCATAAATGTCTCCTGACCAAAGACTTTTAACTTCCCAACCGTCCTCATCAAGTTGGTAACTAGAAGGGCAAACCTCACATTTATCCAAACACAGAAGCTATTTGATCTGAATTAATGAGATAAGGACAAATTATTTTGACATCCACAATAAACTGTTTCTCAATACTCTGAAAGTGATTTGGATTTTCCCCTTTCTAACTCCAATCTGGTCATATCAGACCAAACAGGAGTAAAACTTGGCCCTAGGTCAGCAACATCAATAATGTTCACAACAGAAGAATAACCAAATTCTAACTGGATTTAAACTAAATCTTAAGTAAACAGAAAAGGGTTAACCAAAATATATGTAACGATACTGTTCAGCTCCAGATTTGTTCCAGGTGCTATCACTTGCCAGATAGTTTTTTTTTCTAAATAAATTTACTGAGAAGTGTATGAAATTTATCTTGCACCAAGAGGTAGTCATCAACAGCTCTTTCAGGTCCTGCTAATCCTGGATGTGAAATGCTTTTCGAATTTGACTCAGTGGTTACTTGCTTTTTGAAATTACCTTACAAAAGCCCTTCTTAATTGTACTGAAGTCAGGCAAAACATAGTCTATCATTACTGTATTTTCTTCTCCTTTCAACCTGGAAAACAAAACAGACTTATGAAATATTTCAGCTATGTGTAACACCTCCCAAGAAGCAACTTTCCAACTCTTAGATTACTGCTATACATACTTTGCAATATCCATGTCTCTATAAAAATCCTGAGATACATAGCATACATCTTCTTTTACTTGATTAATCACATGTGTTTCATCCATAACATGTAGCTGCCTAATAGAAAGAAAAATTATAAAATTTGAAATGGAAAAATTTAAATATAACTTACAACTATCATTTAACATATGTTTTCTGGAATTAAACATTAAGGTAACTGATTTTTTAAGTACTAAATTCTTGAATGTGGAAAATAATTTAACTTTATGGACTACTCTCACTTCCATTATCTTATTTAATTTCCACATTATTCCTCTGAGGGCATGTATTATTCTAGTTTACAGGTAAAGAAAGCGAAAACAGAGGTGTTAGGTGGTGAGCTTTTTCCCTCCAAAGTTCTGAACAGAACCTTGCTATAATGTCTTCTTTTTTTTTAAGTTATGGGTACAATTCAGGGTTAGGTATACAAATGGTCAAGTTTGGGCCTCACTTTGGTCCCCACTTCACCTGGTTTGAGATCAGGTACCCTTATTGATGAGGTGTGGGCTCCCCCACCCCACTGTTTCCTACTATTGCCAATCCCTTTCTTTCCTTTAGTATTTTAATTGTTCAGGGTCTGCTTATGAGTGATATAATGCCTTAACTCTTAGCACGTTCTTTTCAGATTACAGAAGTATTGTTGAGTCAGCACACAGACGATGTTTAATAAATATTTGACAAGTAATTGAATAACACATATGCTTAAAGTAGAAATAAAGATTTTTTAAAAACAAACATGCTGGGCACAGTGGCTAAAGCCTGTAATCCCAGCACTATGGGAGGTGGAGGTGAGAGGATTGCCTGAGCCCAGGGTTCAAAACCAGCCTGGGCAACTTGGCGAGACTTCATCTCTACAATAAACCAAAATATTAACCGGACGTGGTGGTGTGGGCCTGTAGCTCCAACTATTGGAAGGGTGAGGCAGAAGGATCACCTGAAGCACAGCAGGTCGAGGCTGTGTGTGGAGGCCGTGAGTGTGCCACTGCACACCAACCTGGGCAACAGAGTGAGACTCCAACTCAAAAAACCCCCCCAAAAAACAAAAACAAAAATGTGAGGTTATTTCCTTCAAATATTCTTCTGTGCACACACATTTTAGTATATACTATATGTTTACTTTTTATGTTTTCAGCTAAATCTCATGAACCTTTTTTTTTTGAAACGAAGTCTCACTCAGTTGCCCAGGCAGCAGTGCAGTGGCACACTCATGGCCATGGCAGCTTTGACATTGCTAGGTTCAGGTGATTCTTCCGCCATAGTCTTCCAAATAGCTCCAAGTAGCTGGAACCACAGGCATGCACCACCGCACCTGGCTAATTTTTTTGATTTACTGTAGAAATGAGGTCTCACCAAGTTGCCCAGGCTGGTCTCGAACCTCTGGACTCAGGCAATCCTCTCACCTCTGCCTCCCAAAATGCAGGAATTAGAGGCATGAGCCACCATGCCTGGCTCATGAATATTTTCTTATGCCATTACATATTCTTTAAAAATAAGATTTTTTTTTTACTGCCTTATAATACTTAATCAGAAAAACCTATGAACATGTATTTATCAATGTTCCTAATGTTGGGAGGAAAAATACTTGAGTGTTTATTAACGTAGACTTTGTAGTCAGAGACCTGGGTCTGAACCAAAAATTATAAGCCAAGTTACTTTAACTCTTTGGAACTCAATCTCTTAAATGTTAAAAAAAAGGTAGTAAATATAGCTGGGTGTGGAGGCGCATGCCTGTAGTTACAGCTACTTGGAAGACTGAGGCAGAAGGATCACCTGAGCCCAGCAGGTCAAGGCTGAAGAGGCTGTGAGCGTGCCACTGCACTCTAGCCTGGGTAACAGAGTGAAACACCAACTCACAAAAAAAAAAAAAAAAAAAGTAAGAAATGACATGGCACAGTGGCTCATCCTGTAATCACAGCACTGTGGGAGACAGAAGCAAGAGGACTGCCTGAGCTCAGGGATTCAAGACCAGATTGAGCAACATGGCGAGACCTTGTCTCTACAGTAAATCAAAAATTAGCAGGGCACTGTGGAGCGTCCCTGTTGTTCCAGCTACTTGGAAGGCTGAGACAGAAGGATCACTTGAGCCCAGCAGGTCAAGCCTGCTATAGCTGTGAGCATGCCACTGCACTCCAGCCTACGTGGCAGAGTGAGACTGCCATCCCTCTGCTCCCCAAAAAAGGTAATAAGACCACCTACTCAACAAAGTTGTAAGAAGTAAATGATTCTAATAACACAAGTAAAGTGTGTAGTACTGTCCTTGTAGTCAATTAAAAAAAAATGCTAGTGCTCCCGTTTTTGCATTTGTATAACAAATATCTCTGCACACCACACTTCATCTTCTCTTAGATGTACCATTGTAGTAATGAAAAGAGAATAATACTAATTAAACTGACACTTATAAGGTATTAAGGACTAAAAAATTCATCCCAATGTCAGAAATTAAAATGTGAAAAAAGTACCAACACTGAACTGATGAATTAGTTTTAATTATATCTCTATGCCATTACTTAATCATTCTCTAAGACACAGAATATCAAATAATTTTATTCTTTTGATATACTGCCAAATTGTTTACCAGAAAAGTTATTTCAAGTTATTCTATAATAAGCAGTCAATAAGAGTGGCCATATAACAAATTTGCAGCAGCATCTTTTGAAAAAAATTCTATTAATTTGAATTGTAAAAATGGTACTTTAATTATTTTCTGTCCTGGGAAGGACCATGAGGAACAGGAATTCTTTTTTTTTTTTTCCCCCAAGTGGAATCTCACTCTGCTGCCCAGGTTGGAGTCTAGTGGCATGCTCATGGCCACCGCAGCCTAGACCTGCTGAGCTCAGGTGATCTGGGATCCTTCTGTCTCAGCCTTCCAAGTTGCTGGGACTATAGGCACGCACCACCATGCCCAGCTAATTTTTTGACTTATTGTAGAAATGAGGTCTCGCCAAGTTGCCCAGGCTGGTCTTGAACCCACGGGCTCAGGCAATCCTCTCACCTTAGCCTCCCAAAGTGCTGGGATTATAAGAGTGAGCCACTGTGTCCCGCCTGAGGAACAAGAATTCTTATCTGTGTCATTCATTCACATAGCTTAAGATCCTAAATAAATGCTCAATAAATATTTGATGAATCAAATGTCATTAATACAAGAGTTTAACATTTTTCATGTCTAGGAATTATTCATTTGTACCCTTTGGCTGTACGTAACTACCTAAGAATTATCTATTTGGGCCACTCACTATTTTTTTCCTAAAAACCATTGAAACATTGTATAGTGGGGTAGTGTTTTTCTTATGATCAGTGCTCTTACTATATTAAAGAGTAACAACTGCACAGCATATGTTTCCATTGTTTCTCACATCTGTGTTTACCTCAGTTTTGTTTACAGAGGCTTTGGACATACATAAGGCTTAACATTTTTATGTAGTTAAAACAGAAAAGCTGTCAAAACCCGACCACTTCGAAATCAGTGGTTTTCCCAACTGGATGAGGACCCAAACGGGGTTGGGTGCTGGTGGGCCTCTGCTTGGGCTGTGTTTTTGTCACACGAGTTTGTCTGCTTTTTGAAAATTCACTGAGTTGTACACTCATGGTTTGTGTACTTTTATGCATGTTTTACTTCAAAAATTTTTTTAAAAAGTTGCATGTAGGAAAATATTCTTTGTTATTTCTTCCGTTTTTATGCTTAGCAACTCAGTTAAACATTTTCTTGTTGTGGTTTTATTTTTATATTTGAGTCTTAAATCCATTTGAACTTTATTTTAGTGTATGAGGCTAAGTAAAATTTTAATTTTTCTTCAAACAGCCAACTTTTGCTGTATCCTTTCCTCAATAATTTATCCCTTCTTAATTAGTTTTTGATGTTTTATTTAGCAATATTATTTTCACTCTTACATTGATTCAAGATTATTCAGTCTCTTGGAGACCAGCCTAGGCAACATAGCAAGACCTTGTCTCTACCAAAAGAAAAATTAGACAGGCATGGTAGCACACGCCCGAAATGCCAGCTCCTTGGGAGGCTAAGGCAGAGCCCAGAAAGTTGAGGCTGCAGAGAACCCTGACTGTGACACTGTACTTCAGCCTGAGTGACCCGACTCAAAAAATGAAAGATTATTCACTCCCACTGATCTGTCAGTTAATTCTTATACCGCAATCACCTAATTATTATAGTTTTATAATATTTTACCATTTACTAGAGAAAGTTTTTCATTATTTTTATAAATATTTCTAGCTATTCTTACCAGTTTTGTTTTCTTCATAGCTGAAAGTCAGAAGTCTTGATTTCTTAGTTATACGATTTTTTTTCATTTAGCATGGAGGAGTGGTTAAGTGTACAGGCTCTGGACCCAAAACACCTGGATTTTGGTTAATGTCTGCATTTGCAGCTTCTAATCTGACTGGGGTAAGGAATTAAATATCCAAACTTACTGAACCTGAGCCTAATTTTATTTGGTTCCGTAGTGAATAACATTCTTATCATAATAATGTAAATGTTATTTATGAGCATTCTATTTTTATAATTAATCTATAAACAAGGCAAAAGAGATTTCACTATAGGTAAAAGTAGCATGTAAATGTTATACATCTCAATAATTAAGAAGAAATGGTACAGTATTATTTATGCCTAGTGAAAACAGTCAATATTGTGGGGCACGGTGGCTCACGCCTATAATCTCAGCACTTTGGGAGGCAGAAGTGAGAGGACTGCCTGAGCCCCACGGGTCCGAGACCAGCCTGGGCAACTTGGTGAGACTTCATCTCTACAATAAATTTAAAAAACATTAGCCAGGCATGGTAGCACTACTTGAAAGGCTGAGGCAGAAGGATCACCAGAAGCCA